TTAAGCCAAGTCAGGATGACTGGGACGAGAAGTTACCTCTCGTCGCCAGCCTGTACAACAATGTTGTGCACAGCACCACAGATATGACTCCCAACCAGTTACATCTTGGTTGGAAGCCCAGATCTGCGCTTGACTTTCTGCTACCAGAAAGACAACCCACTGCAGCACCTGGCAGCATAGAGTTTGCTGTCAAGTATGAGCAGATGCTGCAGCAGGCCGTTGAACATATTCAGAAGTCTCAAGATGCTATGATTGCATCTGAGAACAAACATAGACAGCCTTCTAACTTTCAGGTAGGTGAGAGAGTCTGGGTGAAATCATCTGAACTGGGACAGGAGATAGGGATCTCAAGAAAAGTGATGCCTCAGTAATTTGGTCCCTGGGAGATCTGAGATATTGTAGGAGATCAACCGGATGGGCCTTCATACGTGATTCGTATCCCTGCACATGCCTCCAAGCTGGCACCTTTTGCTGCCACAGACCTGTTTCCCTCTCGGAGATCGATGCTGCCCCCAACCATGGATGGCGAAGTGGACATTGACCAGATCATTGAGCATCGAGTGATGCCTGTTCCTCGACCATCAGGCAGAGGGCGACCTCCTAAACCGAGAATGCAATATCGTGTGAGCTTCAGACATCATCTGGATCCTAAAGAAGACAGGTGGTTCACACGAGAAGAACTCATGAGAACAGCACCTCAAGTCATCGCAGGCTATGAAAGAGCACTCAAGGGGAAGATGCCTGCAGAATGAAAGACTTCTCAGAGGACTCACGAAGTAAAGGAGGAGGGAATGCGAGGATCAGGGTCCTCGGTAGGCCAATGGGGCCCTGTTTGCAGCCTTACCCGCCCTAAGTGAAGGCGGGCCTGGCTTTTTGCAAGAGGCCCTCGACTGTCAATTTCATATTTGGGGTCCAGGCAGTTGCGATGCGCCAGTTGGTTGAAAGAAACGCAGGCCGAGCACCAAAGACATTTCAACGGCCTACCGGGCCTTTCCAAAGAATGCAGGCCCTGGGCGTGATTCGCAGCCTCATACAGAGACAGGGCGCCCAACCGAACGAGGCCCAACAGCCCAGTAGCTGCTGCATCCAGGCAGCCTCCTGGGGCCTTCCGGAAGCTTCTGGCCCTGGCCAGCTCTTTTCCATAAAGGAAAGAGCTCTGGCCAGGCAGCCTCATTCAGGCACTCGCATGCTGGCGGCAGCGCTGCTGGAGCTCATGCTCGTAGGCTGCTGCTAGCGCTGAGAGGCAAGGTGCAGCACGTGCGGTCGTGCAGAGGAGGAGGGCGCTGCTGAGGGCAGCGCCATAGCCCAGCCACCATAGCTGGTGGGCTTGGACTACAGTGAAGCGCAGGGGTGGTCTTCGGGTGAAAGAGAGGACAAGTGTGGGTGAAGTCAGGGGATAGGTGAAGGATGATGATGATGATGATGATGTGAGGGCACGTACCTTGTATTGGCGATGGTCTGCATGGGCGACATCTTCAAGTACTTCGGGCTGCCGCTGATGTCAACAGTTGCATTGTTTKTTTGTAGTCTGTAGTAGCTGTGTASGAGTAGGCTGGGCGCTGAGCGCCAAGTGTGAGTGTGAAGGAACTGGACTCTTGTGTTGAGAGGAGAGAGTRTGCTCTCCATGGACATTGGTTTTCAGTGCTAMGAACCTCCATTGGTGTATTATTGGTGCAATGCTGCTCTCTGGACACGGTGTGACTATTTGGCTTTCAATGTGATCGTGTGATCTGGAATTGTCATCTCGCTGTTGCTTATTAACCTTGCACTTGAGCCATATGACAAAAACTTATCATGCATGTATGGTTGTGGTGACGGAAAACCTATTTAGAAAACTTTATATCTTACTACTAAGGTTTATGATTGGTTAGAGGAACATTTACATATTTATTATTTAATATTTAAGCTATTGCAAATGACATAACAAGTAAATGATACTAATTTTATGTTCTGCTGTTTAGGTGGAATTACCTTAAACAAGAGTTGAAGCACCATCGTTCCACCTTGTTGCTCTTAAGATAAGAAAGGCCGCCTTATCTATCGGTAGCAGTATATGCTTGGATGGACGCTGACTTACGCGCCTGATAAAGAAAGCCAAGCCACATGAGACAAACTTGGGCGGGTTAGGAGACCCAAAAAAACACGGCTGCTTTCCTCATCGACAGGCAGAAACCAGCACCGGACCACAAACCAGAGCTGCAGCCGGATCAAAGACCAGAAGTCTGAGGTTGTGGTTTCTGTTTTTTTAGGGCAACTGCAGAACCAGAAAATTTCTGGTTTTTGGTTTCTGGTTTCTAGACCGTCCTGCAGAACCTGGAACTGGGAACAACAACAACAACAACAACAACAACAACAAATTTGCTGCTTTCGTCAGTGACATGCAGAAACCCAAACCAGACCAGGATGCAGCTGGTAGCAGATATCATCTTCTGAACTGACCAGCCAGTTGGTATCAGACCTGACTTTGAATTCCAACATTCTAAATTGCCGTGAGGCTCGTGGTAATTCAGAATGTGGAAATTCAGAATGATTCGTTCGAATCGCGTCATCGGGATTGGAACTTAGGCCTGTGTTTCAACAGTTCATGGGCGTAAAAAGTTGCAAACTGAGCATTGCATACCGTAACGGTGCAGACCAGAACAAGAACCGACCTCTCTCACAAAGTACAGGATAGCGCAGCGGAAAGCTAAAATACCAATGATCAGACCAATCAATGCCGCAATGCAGACTAAACATACACCATCATCATCGCATGGTGTGAAGGGACCTGGCGCTCACACAGGAAGAAATGCGCCAGTCCCAAACATACACAGACGAAGGAGAGGGGGATTAGACGAAGAGGAAGGGAAGCTGGGAATGTTGTCAACACCAAGTCTTCAGTACAGGTCCCAAATAATCCCTCGTCCAATGTCTCAATCCCAATGTCGAGTCTGAATCCAAATGTCGTCAAGTCCCAAAGTCACCAATCTCTCTCTCTCTCTCTCTCTCTCTCTCTCTCTCTCTCTCTCTCTCTCTCTCTCTCTCTCTCATAGTCTGCAGACACTGAGAAAGGTGGCGAGATGGTGAGGGAGAGATGGTGGACTTGAGAGGAGGAAGAAGAAGAACTCTCTCTCTCCCCCTCTTGTACCAAGTACTAACCTGTGAAGGTGGCGCCTTGTTGCAGGTACATCGAAGACGAAGCTGGAGCTATGGCGCCCAAGGTAAGTCTCCCTGGCCTCCACCCTTCTCTCTCTCTCCCAACGCGCCTATACCTCCTAGCAGCGCCCAGTGCTGAAGACTACTCTAGCGCTAGCTACTACTACTGCAGCGCTCCTCCAGAGTGCTGCGGCCAACTCCTGAAGACTGCCTCCTGAACGCACGTGAAGTCCTGTGAACTGCCTGGGAAGTCCCTATCAACTACCTGCAGCCTGCAGGGCGGGCCAGTTCTATATAGTGCTAGCCCGTCCGGGAGGCTGCTCTTGCCAATGCCGAAACGTGCCAGACCCTGGCGTTGAAGTTCAAACAAAGGTTGTCTTGAAACAGGCCCAAAAATGGCCTGTGCTAAACCCTGGTCTGGGGCCTGAGTTTCAGCGCAGGTCGACTTTACGAGGGCCTGAAAATGGCCCTCGTTTTCAGGCTTTTAGGCTGAAACGACACAGGGCCAGGAGGGCCCTTTCTTTCCGTCTGGTCGGGCCCTGCAGGCCCGTGTGGATGCGCAGTATGCCACACCCCCCCCTCCTTGAAAAAACGAGCTTACCTGCGAGGGCGAAGCTGTCTGTCGGAGGTAGGGACCAAAGTCCGGGTGGGAGGGGCCGGTCGTGAAGCTTCCTTGGCTAACCTTTGTCGTTCGTAGTGAGCGTAGACCAGCGGTGCGGATGCTTGCAAATCTGCTCCTGAAACCCATCGAGTGTCGTCAGGATCGCATGCTTTGAAGGTAACTTTGTACTGTCGACGCTTGTTGCCGTACTTGCGATCCGTGATGACGCGGTCGACATCCTGATGACCATCAATAGACGGAGGGTCTTGCGATCGTCAGCCCGGGAAGTCGTCGCTCTTAGCTGGCTTCGAGGCGTTAAAGACTGGATGGACCGACAGATGCGGAGGGATGTCGATCACAAAGGATGGGCCATCGGGCTCGTCGCTTGCGGCTGAAAGGACATGTCATGGTCCAAACCACTTCAAGAGTAGTTCGCGCGAAACATCCTGTTCGAGCGCAAACCCTTCCACGGAGACCCAAACCAGATCACCGGCGCGAATGGGACATGGCACGCGACGCCTGTTGGCTTGCTGCTGCATGCGGACTTTAGCATTTTGCATGTTTGCGCGGCTTAAGCCAACAATTTGCTGTACTTCCCGATGGAGGCGGGAGAGCAAACAGCGTTTATGTCGGCAGTTTGTGGAAGGAGAAGATCAGCGAAGATACAGCATTTCCGGCCACCGTGGTGCAACTCGAATGCAGTCACGTCGATTGTCGGGTGCAACGAAGTGTTGTAGGCGAACTCGATGTTGGGGATGCGGTCAACCCAATCTTTCTGATCCGTACGGATGAGCGTACGAAGCATCATCTGAACAGTCTGATGTGCTCTCTCCGTTTGCGCATGTCGAGCCGAACTTGGTTTCATCTTGCTGCCGGATTCCTGCATGAGAGAAGTCCAGAATGCCGACATGAAACGAGTGTCGCGGTCACTAACCATGTCTTCCGGTTCCTTGTGGCTGCAAATCCAGCCGGTGTGCAAGAGGCACGCAAGTCCGGGAGCCGTGGCGTAGTACTTGCAAGGGAGAAATCGCACGTACTTACTCAATCGGTCAACGACCGTGAGCACGTCGTCGTGCTCGAAGCAATCGTGGTGAAACAAGCCGGTGATGTCCATGGCGATGGAGAGGCCTGGTTCCCGTGGAATAGGCAACGGGCGCAACTCGCCATAGGGATTGCGGTTGAGGGGCTTGCATCGCCGACAAACCTCCCAAGAGTCGCAATATCGAGTGACATCGGCTATGAGGTTGGGCCACCGGAATCGTTGTCGAAGTCGTGCGATAGTCCGATTGGCTCAAAAATGGCCGGCGAGTCGCGAGTCGTGGTTGTCGAAGTCGTGCGATAGTCTAATTGACTCAAAAATGGGCGGCGAGTCGCGAGTCGTGGTACTCGCCGAGAAGGCGAGTCCGAAGACGACGGTCTCGTGGAACGCAGAGCAAGTCCTTGCCTCGCGAGTGGAGAAGCAAGTACCCATCGACGATGCGATAGTTGCTGGCCGGCGGGTGATCCAAACATAGTTGTGCATATAGCGTGGCGAAATCCGGATCAGACTCGTAGCCCCGAATGAAGTGCCACTGGAGTTCCTCATCGAATGAGGAGGCATGATGTGTCATAGCGCAAAGATCGGGTCTTCGCGAGAGTGCATCTGCTGCGCGATTGGAGAGGCCGACGAGATGTTTCGGTGTGACGTCAAATTGGTCGATGAAGTACATCCATCGTCCGATAGTGCTGTTCACCGTATCCTGCGTCTTGTAGTAGGTCAATGGGTTGTTCTTTGTGATCCATGTGAACCTACCACGCCCAAGGAGGAAGTGCCACCATCGTTTGAGAGCCATCACGAACGCGAGCAGCTCCTTCTTCCTTGCATCATCAAGTGAGTTGATGGGAGGCACCTTGTGGCTGAAGTACTCCAGGGGATGGCAGTCGTCGTCGTCGTGTTGTTCCAAGACTGGCCCAATACCATAGTCGAAGGCGCTAGTTGTCACTCTCGTTGGCAAGGTGGGGTCGTAGATGCTAAGGACGGGTGCTATGAGCATGGTCGTCTTGAGTGCTTGGAATGACCAGCTTGCTTCGTAGTCGAATACGAATGGCACGTTTGGCGACTGTAATCTCGTCAATGGTGCGGCAATTCTTGAGTACCCGGTGATGAAGCATTGATAGTAGCCTACCAAAACCCATGAATGAGCAAACGTCAGTGGTGTTGGTGGGCTCGGGCCATACGAGGATGGCCTCAATCTTGTCCGCAAGCGAACGGATGCCTTGCGGCGTCACAAAATGGCCCAAGTACTCGAGCTCTTGCCCCGCGAATTCGCATTTATCGCGGTTAGTTTTGTACTTGGCTTGTCGTAACCATTCCAAAATGGTGCACAAGTGCTCCACATGCTCGTCCAAACTCCGGTTGTACACCAAGATATCGTCGAGGTAGATGAGTACAGATTTATCCAGCATGTGTCGGAACTCCGTTGTCATAGCCGCTTGGAACGTGGTCGGGGCATTCGTAAGGGCAAAAGGCATAACCATCCATTCGAAATGCCCATATCGCGTCTTAAACCCGGTCTTGTAGCGATCCTCCTGCCTGATCTCGAGTTGGTGATATCCCGATTTGAGGTCCGGCTTGGAGAGGAATTTAGTGTCACCCAGTCGTTCGAGAACGTCGTCGATGCGCGGAAGAGGGCCAGGGTTCTTGACGGTTTGCGCGTTGAGCTTGCGATAATCAATGCACAACCGCAAGTCCTTGTTCTTCTTCCAGACGAAGAGAACGGGAGCGCCGTATGGCGAAGAGCTCGGCCAAATCCAACCTTTCTCCAGAAGGTCGTCGAGTTGTGCTCGTAGCACACTTAACTTTTCCTCGCTCATGCGGTAGATGCAACCACGCGGCGATACAGCCCCGGCCTCGAGGATGATCTCATGGCGGATGGGCCGATCTGGTACTACTCCGTGTGGGGCTTTGAACACGTCGCCGTAGGTGTGGAGAAGTTCGGTGATGCGTGGGTCCGTTGATGCGCCCGTCGATGGGATGTCATGGGGAGGGAGGGCGTGGAGAAAACACACCCCCATCTCCTCGATGTCGTCCCTGGTGATGGAAGCTCGAATGCTTACGGCGGACACCACGTGGCAGTTGAGGTGGAGGCACCGTGCATGGGACTAGTACTCGGTTCCAATCACGAACGTGAACGGTGGGGCAGTAGAAGTTCACCGGGTGATCCTCGCTTCGCAGCCATGACATGCCCAAAATCATGTCGAGCTGGGTGTCCAAAATGTCGAAGGACACTGCCTCGCTTGCATGAGGGGCGAAGTACACGGGGACAGAATCAATGCACCGGTCGATTGACTTATGTGTCTGACCATCGGCCAACGTGACTTGCGTGGGCTGCGACTTCCTCCAAACGTGTGGCCCAAGGCCAGCGCGTACCATAAAGTCTTGGCTGATATAGTTGCGAGTAGCTCCACAATCGATCAAAGCGCTGCAGGTCACCTATCCGATCTTAATGCGTATGTACAACAATGGCGCGTCAATGTCGTCGTACCGTTGTGTCTTGAACTCGCGGTCGATCTTCGCAACGTAGTCGTGAACGTCAACAACCTCTACTCCGACGTTCATCAACGTAGCTGGTACTGCAGTGTGCAAGTAATCCCGCAATTGTGCCATGAGCACGTTGGAATGCGGTTTCGGCAATCGACCCGTCGGGGGAAGGGGCATCCATTGGAAGTCCGCAAACGTCAATGGGTCGAGTTCTTCAAGTCTTGACCATGACGTCGAATCCCCGGCGATAGTTGGCGGCGAAGCTGCCGAATCGGTTGCCGATGGTGGTGAAACTGTGCATACGGTGGATTGTTGCACGTGGAGTGGTTGGTCGAACAGTGGGACCAAGTGGACAGCGTAATCCTCATAAGTGAACCGAGGACTCGCAACATCCGCATTCTCCCCAGATGTGTAGGAGGCTGCTAGCAAGGCGGTCGAATATGGTGGAGTGCGAGGTGGAGTCACCTCACCTCCCGTGCGGCTCATTCGAGGTCGAACATCCTCCTTGCCCTGATCTTGCCATTGGGAGGTTTTGTGCTTGGTGTTGTTGCACCAATAGCAGCAGTCGTATCAGCTGCGGTACTTGTATTCGACCTCGGCCAAGTTGAACTTGACCCATGGTATTGGCTGTCCATTTCTGGCCAGCGATGCGGTTTTCGTCTTCCCTTTTCCACAGGAGTTGTTGTTGCTTCGCGGATGGGCGGCAGCCACTAGATCTCCCTCACGTGATGCGGACGTGGTTGTCGGATCTTCCACAAGGGTGTCCGATTGGATTGCAGCAACGGGCTGCGAACGCGAACCAAATTTTTCTTTCTCCACATGGGTTGGCTGCCACGCTATCTTCTTGTGTGCAGCAGCCCGGTTGCTCTTGATGATCTCACGACCATTGTCGATGATTTCGGCGAAGGTCATCTACTGTTCGCGATCACCGAGTGGGAGGCCCAAGGCGGCACACGACCGGTTGTAGAACTCTCGACGTAGATGCAAAAATGACAAGTCGAGATCGGGTGTTGCCATGATCTTTTGTGATTCCGTGAGCCAATCGCATGTCTGTGTATTGCCTTGAGTCATGCTGAAGAGGCGATTGATGGCGAGTGTCGAGGCGTCGTCAACGATGGATGAAACGCTTCTTCCATAGCCTTGTCAGATCTTCCCAAGAGATATTCTTGTGCAGATCGGCGACCTGGATGTCGTGGTGCCAGGTGGCTGAGCCAGATCTGGCATCCGCCTGCTGAGTTGAGGAACAATGTCGTGATGTCGGGGACGTGACGAATCCGAAGTTCCGTCGTAAAGCCCTGCCACCAGGGGACCGGATCTTGATGCGTATAATCATCAAACTTTTCGATCCGGAACGTCGGCATCTTATACTGTTGCGCACTGGTGCTGCCATCGTTGTCGGGCGGCTGGTGCAGTTGCCGAACCTCGTTCTTCAAGGCGTCGAATTGTTCGCTGATGGTGGCGGGTGCGGCGAAGGTGCTGATGTCTCCAAGCATGGCGAGTATATGATCACCTCGTTGTTCCAACTGGCAGTTAGAGGCTGCATTGTTGGATTTGCCCGCATATGGTCTCGGTGTTGTGTGCTCCAAGTCTTGTACACGGGAATGAAGTGCCCGTGTAGCATCCTCATGCAGATCCTTGTGGTTCCGCACTACCTGTCAGAGATTTGCCAGCTCGGACTGCAGGTGGACAAGTGTAAACCAACCGGGTCACGAGTTTGGCGAGAAACTCCTTGTGCTGCTCTTTCGATGTTGGGTCTTCGTGGCTCTCGAATGGTTCGATGTTGGGTCTTCGTACCGCTGCAGCAGATCCTGGGCTTCCTTGTGGCAGGCCTGGGCATCTGCGTCAGCTTCGGCCTGAAGCCGCTGCTTTTCAACTGCCGCTTCCGCTTCAGCCTATAGGCGGGCAGCCTCGGCTGCCGCCTGGCGCTGCTCCTCAACCTCGATCAGTGCAAGCTGAGCTTGGAACCGTTGTCGGTACGCCGCAATGGACTCGTTGGCCAGTTGGCCTCGCATGCCCAAAGCTGAAACTGTCATGGTGGCAGGGCACTCCTGACGTTGGTACTGCTGTTGTCGAGGCACTGCTGACATGGCACTGTTGCTGATGTGGCAATGCTACTGATATACAACTGCTGATGTGGCACTTCTGACGTCGCAATGCTGCTGTCGTGGCACTGCTAACGTGGCACTGCTGACATGGCACTGCTGATGTGGCACTTACCAAACCGGGAATGCAGACAAAGGGCTCGGTGGGAGGGAAACGCAGAGAGGTAACAAAACTGTACTTTCCATTCCCGGTCCTAGTCAACAGAATAAAATAAAAGAAGAGGATCACCCCCCCCCCCTTTTTTTTTGTATATCTGCCAATCTGCTATCAGTGAGGCGTTTCTGAGGAGTATTATGAGCGAGATCTAGGCAAGGTTTCGCAAAGTTTCGGCTTTAAAAAAAATGCAATCTTGAAAAAAAAAATTTGTTGACTGAAGGTTCCACTTTCAGAGAAGAATAGATCCAGTCCAAGAGTATGACAACCTCCCTAGTTCACCTAATATGCCCAGAGTGAAACATCATACGAAATGTGAATATCCGCAGTTGCGAAAAAGAAAAAAAAAATGCAGAGATTTGACGAAGCCCTACTTGATTCACCAATAAACGATCAATCAATCAATCAATCATTCATTCAACAATCAGACGAGCAAGCAAGCTGGCTCCTTGATTCGGCAGATCCTCTGATTGAGAGATCCGCTCAGATACCAAACTATTGCATACCGTAACTGTGCAGACCAGAACAAGAACCGACCTCTCAGATAGTACAGGATAGCGCAGCGGAAAGCTAAAATACCAATGATCAAACCAATCAATGTCCCAATGCAGACTAAACATACATCATCATCACCGCATGGTGTGATGGGACCTGGCGCTCACACAAGAAGAAATGCGCCAGTCCCAAACATACACAGACAAAGGGGGGGGGGGATTAGACGAAGAAGAAGGGAAGCTCGGAATGTTGTCAACACCAAGTCTTCGGTACATGTCCCAAATAATCCCTCGTCCAATGTCTCAATCCCAATGTCGAGTCTGAATTCAAATGTCGTCAAATCCCAAAGTCACCAATCTCTCTCTCTCTCTCTCTCTCTCTCTCTCTCTCTCTCTCTCGTAATCTGCAGATACTGAGAAGTCAGGTGGCGAGAGGGTGAGGGAGAGATGGTGGACTTAGAGGAGGAAGAAGAAGAACTATCTCTCTCCCCCTCTTGTACCAAGTACTAACCTGTGAAGGTGGCGCCTTGTTGCAGGTACATCGAAGACGAAGTTCTAGCTATGGCGCCACAGGTAAGTCTTCCTGGCCTCCACACTTCTCTCTCTCTCTCCCAACGCTCCTATACCTCCTAACAGCGCCCAGCGCTGAAGACTACTCTAGCGCTAGCTACTACTACTGCAGCGCTCCTCCAGAGTGTTGCGGCCAACTCCTGAAGACTGCCTCCTGGACGCACGGGAAGTCCTGTGAACTGCCTAGGAAGTCCCTATCAACTACTTGCAGCCTGCAGGGCGGGCCAGTTCTATCTAGTGTTGGCCCGTCCGGGAGGCTGCTCTTGCCAATGTCAAAATGTGCCAAACCCTGGCGTTGAAGTTCAAACAAAGGTTGTCTTGAAACAGGCCCAAAAATGCCCTGTACTAAACCCTGGTCTGGCGCTCGAGTTTCAGGGCAGGTCGACTTTATGAGGGCCTGAAAATGGCCCTCGTTTCCAGGCTTTTAGGCTGAAACAACACAGGGTCAGGAGGGCCCTTATTTTCCGTCTGGTCGGGCCATGCAGGCCCGTGTGGATGCGCAATATGCCACACCCCCCCCTCCTTGAAAGACTGAGCTTACCTGCGAGGGCGAAGCTGTCTGTCGAAGGGAGGGACCAAAGTCCGTTGGGAGGGGTCGGTCGTGAAGCCTCCTTAGCTAACCTTTGTTGTTCGTAGTGAGCATAGATCAGCGGTGCGGATGCTTGCAAATCTGTTCCTGAAATCCATCAAGTGTCGTCAGGATCGCATGCTTTGAAGGTAACTTTGAACTGTCGAGGCTTGTTGCCGTACTTGCGATCCGTGATAACGTGGTCGACTTCCTGATGACCATTCATAGACGGCGGGTCTTGCAATCGTCGGCCCGGGAAGTCGTCGCTCTTAGCTGGTGTGTATGCCGCCAGCTTCGAGGCGGGAAAGACTGGATGGACCGGCAGATGCGGAGGGATGTCGATCACAAAGGATGGGTCGTCGGGCTCGTCGCCTGCTATTGAAAGGACGTGCCATGGTCCAAACCACTTGGGGAGTACTTTGCACGAAACATCTTGTTCGAGCGCAAACTCTTCCGCGGAGACCCAAACCAGATCACCGGCGTGGATGGGACATGGCACACGACGCCTGTTGGCCTGCTGCTGCATGCGGACTTGAGCCTTTTGCATGTTCACGAGGGCTTGAACCAGCAATTCCCTGTACTTTCGGATGGAGGCGGGAGAGCACGCGACGTTTATGTCGACAGTTCGTGGAAGGAGAGGATCAGCGAAGATACGGACTTTCCACCCACCGTGGTGCAACTCGAATGGAGTCACGCAGATCGCCGGGTGCAACGAAGTGTTGTAGGCGAACTCCATGTCAGGGAGGTGGTCAACCCAATCCTCCTGATCAGGACGGATGAGCGTACGAAGCATCATCTGAACAGTCTGATGTGCTCTCTCCGTTTGCCCGTCCGTTTGTGGATGCCGAGCCGAACTTGGTTTCATCTTGGTGTCGGATTCGTGCATGAGAGAAGTCCAGAATGCCGACATGAAATGAGTATCATGGTCGCTAACAATGTCTTCCGGTTCCTTGTGGCTATCCAGCCGATGTGCAAGAGGCGCACAAGTTTGGGAGTTGTAGTACTTGCAAGGGAGAAATCACGCGTATTTACTCAATCGGTCAACGACCGTGAGGATGCCATCGTGCCCGAGGCGGTCGCGAGGAAACGGGTCGGTGAGGTCCATAGCAATGGAAAGGATGGGTTCCCCCGCGATAGGCAACGGGCGCAACTCGCCGTAGGGATTGCCATTACGAGGCTTGCTTCGTCGACAAACTTCACAACAGCCACAATATCGAGTGACATCGATGATGACATCAGGCCAGCGGAATCGTTGTCGAAGTCGTGTGATAGTCCGATTGACTCCAAAATGGCCAGCAAGTCGTGGTACTTGCCGAGAAGGCGAGTCCGAAGACGACGGTCTCGTGGGACGCAGAGCAAGTCCTTGCCTCGCGAGTGGAGAAGCAAGTACCCATCGACGATGCGATAGTTGCTGGCCGGCGGGTGATCCAAACATAGTTGTGCATATAGCGTGGCGAAATCCGGATCAGACTCGTAGCCCCGAATGAAGTGTCACTGGAGTTCCTCATCGAATGAGGAGGCATGATGTGTCATAGCGCAAAGATCGGGTCTTCCCGAGAGTGCATCTGCTGCGCGATTGGAGAGGCCGACGAGATGTTTCGGTGTGACGTCAAATTGGTCGATGAAGTACATCCATCGTCCGATAGTGTTGTTCACCGTATCCTGCGTCTTGTAGTAGGTCAATGGGTTGTTCTTTGTGATCCATGTGAACCTACCACGCCCAAGGAGGAAGTGTCGCCATCGTTTGAGAGCCATCACAAACGCGAGCAGCTCCTTCTTCCTTGCATCATCAAGTGAGTTGATGGGAGACACCTTGTGGCTGAAGTACTCCAGGGGATGGTAGTCATCGTCGTCGTGTTGTTCCAAGACTGCCCCAATACCATAGTCGATGGCGCTGGTTGTCACTCTCGTTGGCAAGGTGGGGTCGTAGATGCTAAGGACGGGTGCCATGAGCATGGTCGTCTCGAGTGCTTGGAGTGACCAGCGTGCTTCGTAGTCGAATACGAATGGCACGTTTGGCGCTTGTAATCTCGTCAATGGTGCGACAATCCTTGAGTATTTGGTGATGAAACGTTGGTAGTAGCCTGCCAACCCCATGAATGAGAGAACGTTTGTGGTGTTGGTGGGCTCGGGCCATACGAGGATGACCTCAATCTTGTTCGTGAGCGGACGGATGACTTGCGGCGTCACATAACGGCCCAAGTATTCGAGCTCCTGCCGCACGAATTCACATTTGTCGCGGTTGGCTTTGTACTTGGCTTGTCGTAGCCGCTCCAAAACGGTGCGCAGGTGCTCCACATGCTCGTCCAAACTCCGGCTGTACACCAAGATATCGTTGAGGTAGATAAGTACAAATTCGTCCAGAATGTGTTGGGACTCCGTCGTCATAGCCGCTTGGAACATGGTCGGGGCATTCATAAGGCCAAAAGGCATAACCAGCTATTTGAAATGGCCATATCGCGTCTTGAACGCGGTTTTGTAGTGGTCCTCCCCCCGGATCTCGAGTTGGTGATATCCCGATTTGAGGTCAAGCTTGGAGAAAAATTTTGCGCCGCCCAGTGGTTCGAGAAGGTCGTCGATGCGCGGAAGAGGGTCGGCGTTCTTGACGGTTTGTGCGTTGAGCTTGCGATAATCGATGCACAACCGCAAGTCCTTGTTCTTCTTCCGGACGAAGAGAACAGGAGCATCGTATGGCGAAGAGCTAGGCCGAATCCAACCTTTCTCCAAAAGGTCGTCGAGTTGTGCCTCAAGCACACTTAACTCTTCCTCACTCATGCGCCAAATGCAACCACGCGGAGGTACAGCCCCGGCCTCAAGAATGAATTCGTGGCGGATTGACCGATCCGGTACGACTCCTTGCGGGGCTTCGAAAACGTCGTCATAGGCATTTAGAAGCTCAGTGATGCGTGGGTCCGTGAATGCGTCCGTCGATGCGTCCGTCGATGGGATGTCATGGGGAGGGAGGGCGTGGAGAAAACACAAACCCATCTCCTCGATGTCGTCCCGGGTGATGGAAGCTCGAATGATCGTGGCGGACACCACGTGACAGCTGATCGAAGGATGAGGTGGAGGCACCGTGCACGGGACTAGTACTCCGTTCCAATCACGAACGCGGACGGTGTGGCTGTAGAAGTTCACCAGGTGATCCTCGCTTTGCAACCACGACATGCCCAAAATCATGTCGAACTTGGTGTCCAGAATGTCGAAGGACACCGCCTCGCTTGCATGAGGGGCGAAGTACACGACGATAGAATCAATGCACCGGTGGATTTACTTGTGCGTTTGACTGTCGGCCAACGTGACTTGCGTGGGCTGCGACTTCCTCCGAACGCGTGGCCCCAGCCAGCGCGTACCACGAAATCTTGGCTCATATAGTTGCGAGTAGCTCCGCAATCGATCAAAGCGTTGCAGGTCACTTCTCCGATCTGAATGCGTATGTAGAGCAATGGCGAGTCGTTGGTGGTGTACCGTTGTGTCTTGAACTCGTGGTCGATCTTCACAAGGTAGTCGCGAAGGTCAACAACCCCTATTCTGATGTCCATCGACGTAGCTGGTACTGCAGTGTGCAAGTAATCCCGCAATTGTGCCTTGAGGGCGTTGCAATGCGGTTTCGGCAGTCAACTAGTCGGGGGAAGGGGCATCCATTGGAAGTCCGCGAGCGTCTCAAGTCTTTACCATGACGTCGAATACCCAGCGAAAGTTGGAGGCGAAGCTGTCGAATCGGTTGTTGATGGTGATGAAGTTGTGCATGCGGCGGTGTCTTGCACGTGGAGTGGCTTGTCCAACGGTGGGACCAAGTGGACAACATAATCCTCGTAAGTGAACSGAGGACTTGCGACATCCACATTCTCCCCAGATGTGTAGGAGGCCGCTAGCAAGGCGGCCGAATCTGGGGGAGTGAGAGGTGGAGTCGCCTCACCTCCCGCGCAGCTCAGTTTCCCGAGTTGGTGCGAGGTCGAACATCCTCCTTGCCTTGATCTTGGCATTGGGAGGTCTTGTGCTTGGTGTTGTTGCACCAATCGCTGCAGCCGTATCGGCTGCGGTACTTGTATTCAGCCTCGGTCAAGCTAAACCTGACCTATGGTACTGGCTGTCCATTTCCGACCGGCGATGTTGTTTGCGCCTTCCCTTTTCCACGGGAGTTGTTGTTGCTTCGCAGCTGGACGGCAGCCACCTGATCTCCGTCACGTGATGTTGGGGTGGTTGCCGGGTCTTCCACAAGGTCGTCCGGTTGGACTGCAGCGACGGGCTGCGGACGCGGACCAAATTTCCCTTCCTCCACATAGGCTGGCTGCCACGCTGATTTCTCTTGTGCAGCAGCCCGGTTGGTCTTGACGATCTGACGAGCATTGTCGATGATTTTGGCGAAGGTCAGTATTGTGTACGATCACCGAGTGCGAGGCTCAAGGTGGCACACGGCTGGTTTTAAAACTCCTGACACAGATGCAAAAATGGCAAGTCGAGATCGGGTGTTGCCACGATCTTTGCCATTCCCTGAGCCAGTCGTGTGTCGGTGTGTTGCCTTGAGTCATGGCGAAGACGCAGTTGATGGCGAACGTTGGGGCGTCGTCAACAATGAACCGCTTCTTCCATTCCTTCGTTAGATCTTCCCAAGAGATCTTGTGCAGGTCGGCGACTTGGACGTCGTGGATGGTTGCCATGTGGCTGAGCCAGATCTGGCATCCGCCCTTGGCGTTGGGGAACAGCACCGAAGTGATCGGGAACCTGATGAATCCAAAGCTCCGTCATAAAGCCTTGCCACCAGGTGACCGGGTCCTGATGCGTATAGTCATCAAACTTTTCAATCCGGAACCTCGGCATCTTGTACTGCCATGATGCACTGGTGCTGCCATCGTTGTCGAACCTCGTTCTTCAAGGCGTCAAGCTGCTCGCTGATGGAGGAGGCTGGTGCGGCGAAAGTGCTGATGTTGCCGATCATCACGAGTACATGGTCAATTCGCTGCTCCAACTAGCGGGTAGAGGCTCCATTGCTGGGTTCGCCAGCATCTGGTCTTGGTGCTGCTTGCTCCGAGTCCTGTACACGGGTATGAAGTGCCCGTGTAGCATCCTTATGTTCCTGGTGTTGTTTCTCTAACTCGGACTGCAGGTGGTTACAAGTGTAAACCAACCGGGTCATGAGTTTGGAGAGGCTCTTCCGATGTTGCGTCGTCGTGGCCCTCAAATGGTTCAAAATGCCAGAACTTGAGCCTATCGACGCTGGCGGTTTCGTGCCGCTGCAGCAGGTCTTGTGGGCATCTGCGTCAGCTGCGGCCTGAAGCCTCTGCTTTTCAGCTGCGGCCTCCACTTCAGCCTGTATGCGGGCAGCCTCGGCTGCCGCCTGGCGCTGTTCCTCAGCCTCGATCAGTGCGAGCTGATCTTGGATCCGCTGTCGGAACTCAGCAATGCACTTGCTGGCCAGTTGGCCTGGCATGCCCAAAACAGAACCCGTCATGGTGGCGGGGCACTGCTGACATGGCACTGCTGCTGCCGTGGCACTGCTGACATGGCACTACTGACGTGGCACTGTTGCTGACCTGGCACTGGTGACGTGGCAGTTACCAAACCGGGAATGCAGGCAAAGGGCTGGGTGGGAGGGAAACGCAGGAAGGTAACCAAACTGCACTTTCCATTCCCGGTCCTAATCAACAGCACAAAATAAAAAAATAAAAGAAGCCCCCCCCCTTTTTTTTTCCTTTTTTTTTTCGAGTATCTGTCGATCAGCTATCAGGAGGCTTTTACGGAGTACTATGAGTGAGATCTAGGCAAGGTTTCGCAAAGTTTCGGCTTTCAAAAAAAATGCGGTCTTGAAAAAACAATTTGCGCGAAATAGAATGGAGTTTCCACTTTCAGAGAAGAATAGATCCAGTTTCCGAGAATATGACAACCTCCCTAGTTCACCTAATATGCCCAGAGAGAAAAAGAAAAACAACAAAATGCTAATATCCAACTTTCTGAAGATTTGTTGCAGAAAAAAATAATAATAATAAAAAAGAAAAAATTGCAGAGATTTTGACGAAGCCCTACTTGATTAACTAATAATCAATCAATCAAGCAAGCAAGCTCGCTTCTTGATTGGGCGGATCCTCTGATTGAGAGGTCCGCTCAGATACCAAACTGTTGCATACTGGAATGGTGCAGACCAGAACAACAACCGACCGCTCTCACATAGTACAGGATAGCGCAGCGGAAGGCTAAAATAACAATGATCAGACCAATCAATGACGCAATGCAGACCAAGCATACATCATCATTATCGCATGGTGTGAAGGGGCCTGGCACTACACACAGGATGAAAGCGCCAGGCTCAGATCATCCACAGACAAAGAGGAGGGGGATTAGACAAAGAGGAAGGGAAGGATGTGGATGTCGTCAACACCAAGTCTTCGATATAGATCCCAAATAATCCCCCCCATCCAATGTCGCTGTTCCCATATCGAGTCGGAATCCAAATGTCGCCAAATTTCGAATTCACAAAATTCTATCTATCTCGCTGTCTCGTAGTCTATCAGATAGCGAGAAGTAAGGTAGTGAGAGGGTGAGGGAGAGATGGTGGACTGGAGGAGGAAGAAGAAGAAGAACTCTCTCTCTCTCTCTCTCTCTCTCTCTCTCTCTCTCTCTCTCTCTCTCTCTCTCTCTCAGTGCTA